ATTTTATTTTTTAGTCTCTATTGCTTTGTTTTGGATTGGTTTCTCGCCAATCTGTGGGTGTAGTGCTAGCAGATGATTGTGCTTCCTCCTTGGTGCCAACCTAGTTGGGATTGTGGAGTGTTTGCTATGATGCTTTTTGCACTTCCCTCCTTTATTGATGTATTTTGTTGCTTGTTTTGGCTCATTTCATCAATAAAGTCTCCCTTCTTTGCTGATCAAAAAAAAGAATATGAATTTCATGTGAATTTACCTTGAGTGAGAAAAATGATAGAAATTTTTAATTTTTAATTTTTTGGAAATAAAAAGAGACAACAGAGACAAAGACTAAAGAACCCCTAACCATTACTTGAATCAAAGAGAAGGGTGCTCCTTTTTTTTTCTTTTTTTTTGTGGCAAAGAGAAAGGCATTTGCTGGTGACAAATAATGAACCAGTGGTGCTACATGCACCAATTGGTACATCAATTAGTATATTAACATATATTATGACATTATCGTTTTAAAACTATGACCCTACCTATAATGTAAATTACAAATACCAAAAATTTCTAAAATTAAGTCATGTTATCCATTAATATATTAATTGATATATAGAATATTATGCACAATGAACAGTACTACTAATTCAGTGTAAGCATTTCATACCCACACACATAGATACATATATATATATATATACACACATATGAGCATCTTAATAAAACATTTCATAAGTTGAGTTTGTTTGGAATAAATTCTTTTAAGTTGAAAATTGATAATTATAAAGTAGAAATTAAAAACAATTCTTCCTCAGTTTCTTTATAATTAAAAATTTTCAATTTATATTGTCTCATAAGATTAAACAAAGTTACACCAAACACTTTAATATAGACTCCCAAAATAAAATAAAATAAAAATTATAAGCAGTCCTCGTAGGCCCTATTCGGTTACTTTTAACTCTTTTAATTTAGAAATTTATACTGTGGTTACAATTTATGAGACAAAAATAATTTAAATAAACTCAAAAAAGGTAATTATTGAAAGAAAAAAAAATGATTCTTTTAACTTTTAACTTCTAATTTATTATTTTTAAGATTAAAAGAAATTACGCCAAACTAACTCATAAATTGAACCAAATAAGTATATTACCCAGAAGTAGTTTGCAACTCAACAATGGCCCTTATAAAGTAGTGAGACTGTAGTGTTTTCTACTTACTAATCCCAATCCAAAAAAAAAAAAAAATACTATTTATATCTTTTTTTAAATTTTTTTTATGGGTACTACTTATCTACTACTAATAAAATGAAATACTAGAAACATCATATTCAATTTAACCTATGTTAGAGAATTTTAATAAAAATAAATTGTTATTACAAATTTAATGCGATTTAAACATCGCGCGTATAATATTTAGTAATATTTATACTTTTCATATTATTACAGGTTATTACAGAAAAATTTAAATATTTAAATGCAATCATAATTTTTGTGACATTTTATTTTTATTTGTATTAATCCCATTTATTCCAAACCACACTAGGCGGTGTTTGGGAAGAATTTTTCTTTGGTTTTTTTTTGTTTTTTTTTTTCACTAAAAGACAAATTGGTTACAAAATTAAAAAAAATAAATCCAAACAAAATATCACATCAAATCACATAATCATTTCATTTTTTCTCTTACAAACATCACATCCAATCACAAAAAAACCTAACTATCTTCCCAAACACAATTTTTTTTTTCTCCAATAATATCCTACAACTAAACAAACCCACTTCCCAAACACCCACTATGTATTCTCACTGAAAAAAATATCACAAAAGTTGTTCTCTCTCCCTCGCTATTCCCCATTCCATTATTATTTTGTTACTCTATTCCAAATGTTTTATTAAGAAAAATTCGTCGATCCTATATCAATTTTTGGAAAATTTTAATTTGTAATTTAGTTCAAATTTTTTAATAGTCGTCATGAACGGTACTAAAAACACTGAATAAATTGAATATTATCTTGAAACTATTTTAGTTTAGGCAAACTCTCCCATGGCAACTTTTATAATTTCTTGTAATTGCATATATATATATATATAATATAATTTGTATTGTTTTAATTTAAAGAATTTTGAAATTCTGTTTATCCGTCAAATTGTAAACTACATGTCACATTTTGTTAATCTTTTCCTAACAACATACGCGTAGATAATATAACCTGATTGAGATTGTTGAGGTCAGCTATGATACTCTGTGCACTTCCCTGCTTTATTGATGTAAGTCTTGCATGTATATTGCTTTTCTCATTAATAAAGTTTTTTTGCTGATCAAAAAACATACGCGTAGATAAAATTAATAAAGAATAGACCAATACCGTGACTCTCACTTAAGTAAGATTTGAAGAAGATAAGAGACATGCAATGTTAATCTATTTCTGATGAGACTATATACCAAGTCAGCACCCTTTCAAGCTTATGCCCAATTTAGAAAGTTAAACTAAAACTATACCCAAAAAAGTAGGAAAACAAAACCCAAAATCCATGAATTACCAAAACACTAGTGATCCATAGTTTAACCCTACTGAAAAGCTGCATGTCATTATAACTGTGGTCCCTTACAATGTGTACCGTTTTTTTTTTTTTTGATGCATGTGATCATTCAGTTTTGTGTTTATTGGCTATATATGCCATTGAGATCTCTTCAGTGGGGATGCATCAGATCTCTCCTTTGGTACCAACCCAAATGATATTTATGCTCTTTCATGTCCAACCACCATATGCATATAGCCATCATCCTATTCCAATTTGGGGACCATGCTCATTATTTGAAGCCACTTCACTGCAGAGGTCTAAGGTTTTTTTGAGACATTTTACTAATTTTTTGAAGCAAATTACATCAATCATCCTTATACTTTACCCCTTATATCATTTTTGGTGCTTAGACTTTCAATTGGCTTGATTTTGATCTTTCATATTGGATTTTGTGTCAATTTAGTACAATTAATATCGTCTGTTAGGATTTTTGACAGAAAATAATCACAAAGTTGATTGAAATTAATTTACTGAGTTAATAAGTTGGTACAAAGGACCTGTTGAAGTCGGTACAAAGGTTTTTGCAGCTGGGGCACTGGACATGAATTTGCCAGCATTAGCTGAGGGCATTTGGTCTGTGGGGTGGGGGGGGACTGAATTTTTCTGTACCTTAAGTTTGATATAAAGGGTAAATATAAGAGGAAAAAACAAAGTTTGATTCGAAACTGAGATGGATGAATCACCATCACTTTAGGGCACAGTACATGCAATCAATTAATTTAATTTAATTTAATTTTTATTAGTTTTTTTATCAGCAATATGCAATCAATGAATGGGAGGTACTAATATGCCAACCACAATTTGTCAATGCATTAAGTAGATTGGTGAGAGAAAGGGAGAGGGGAGTATGCGACATGTGATATCACTTTTTTTTGTTTTGTTTTTATTTTAGAACGAATTATACTGATGGTTCCTACTGTAGGTTGTCACTTTAGTCTTTGACCTCTTAATTATAATACATTTAATTATGAAATGAATACCCAAATACCAATGTGCTCCAAATCGCCAAATGTTCAGATTAAATGAAAGCCCTCGACTCCCTCTATCTTTTTAATAAAGCAAATAGGGTAGAAACACACTCTAAATAGATCAAACCTAAGAGACAAGGTGAGTAGGGTGAGAGAGAAGTCGGACCTTAGGGTTTGGAATCAAAAGAAGATGAAAAAGACTGATCAAAACCCGCTGCTGCGTGTAATTAAACTGGACAGGCTCGCTCGAGCGAAGACTTGGTCGCTCGAGCGACCAGGCACAAGAAAACCTCGCTCGAGCGAAGAAAATCTCGCTCGAGCCAAGAATGCAATACTTCAGGTCTATACTAGACGCAAACTCTCGCTCGAGCGACCAAACCCCGGCTCGAGCAAAGAACCAAAAACAACAGCTCGCTCGAGCGACCAACTCCTCGCTCGAGCGAAGATCCAAAATTCTGGACAGCAACACTTGGTTTCTAAACCCAACCAACCTGAAACAAACCTGCCCAACACATCCTATAACTCCAAATGAGAAAATAAGGGACAACAACAACAATTATACAATGACAGAATCTACGGAACCTAAGTCCGGATACAATAATCAAATGGAAAAGACCGGGGTCGCTATAGTATATGAGAAGTTTAAGTGAGTCTAGCATGCTTAAGCCTGGGCTGAATTTGGAAGTGGTGTTGGGCTGTAATATGGGGTCTACTGATCAGGTTATCCAAACTGAAGTGGGCCCATCAGCCCTGTTGAACAAGGGACTGAACAAGTCAGTAAACGTGAAGAAGGAAGGTAATAACAATCGGAACCGTAAAGGGAAAGCATCAGCAAGGGATGAACATGGAGAGCAGCAGAGAGATTCTATTAATCATGGGGGAAAAGCCCAACCAAAGGCTACTATTGAAGCTATAGTTGACCCAGGAATGGAGCAGCTTGTTCGTATTGGATCAGACATAGGGAAGAAGGATCCTCAGAGTCATGTTCCCTCAGTTCCTACACAATCACCAGCAAATGGAAGAGACAAAGGAAAGAAAGTGGCTGTGGCTTTTGTTAGGTCAACTGGGGATCAATTATTGTTGGAAAATAGAGCAAGAGTGCAGGACTGTGGTCAAGTTTCGGGTAGTAAAATAAAGGGGCAAAGACAAAGAAGAATGAGGAAATTGTGTTCTACTCAGCAATTCTGCCAAGGATTTCACAGAGGAGCTATATTTAGAGCTGCGGCAGCTGTGATGTCTTCATCTCTGTCAATCAGTAGTGGTGCTTATAAACAGATTTTAAGCCGAAATGAAGCTCAAGAAACCGTGAAGGTGGGGAAAGTTTTGGGTATTGACTTTGGGGCTAATGAAGAGAGTGTTATCCAGAAAATTTCGGAGATGGACAGGCAAGATGAGGAAAGACTAACCAAAAAAGGGGTGAATGGTGGTGCTTAAGTCTGCACCTGCAGGAGATTTTGCAGTCAAAGTTTGTTCCATAATGAAAGTTCTTTCATGGAATGTTAGAGGCTTGGGTAAGCCTGAGAAAATGAGGAGGATCAGAAATTTCATAAAGTCAAAAGGGGTGGATATGGTGTTGATTCAAGAAACTAAAAAGTCAAGTATTGATGAGAGATTTGTCAGATCTCTATGGGCAGAAGATGAACTGGGGTATATGGAGGTGGGTGCAGAAGGGAGTGCAGGGGCTTTGTTATGTCTATGGAAACCTCATGTGTTTTAGGAAGATGATAGGGATTGGGGTCCCAAACCATTCAAATTCTTAAATGCCTGGGTGCTACATCCCAGCTTTCTTAAAGAAGTTGAAAATGTTTGGGTTGGTACACAAGTGGAAGGATGGGCTGGTTTCAGAATTATGGTCAAATTGAGAACACTTAAACAAGCACTGAAGATTTGGAATGTGGAGGTATTCGGTCAAGTGGAGTCCAAGCTCAAAGCTGCTGAGGCTGAGTTACATTCGTGGGATCTAACAGCTGAAGAAAGAGATCTTGTAGAAGATGAAGTTAGACAAAAAATTGAGATCAGAAATGAAGTGTGGAAGGTTAGAAAAAGGCTAGAGTGGATATGGTTGCAGAAATCCAGACTGAACTGGACCTTAAAAGGGGACAAAAACACCAGGTATTTCCATATTATGGCATCAAGAAGGCATAGTAAGAACGTCCTTGATTCACTGAAGATTAATGGTACTCTATATGAGGATCCTGCAGAGTTGAAACAGGTAGTGGCAGCTCACTTTAAAATTTTGTTCCCTGAAGTTTGGAAGATTAGACCAAGGCTAGGGGGCGAGTTTAGAAGAATTGATCAAAATCAGATTCAATCTTGTTTGGTGAAGGAGTTTTCAAGAGCAGAGGTTTGAGCAGCAATCGAGGAATGCGATGGCAATAAGGCCCCGGGGCCTGATGGATTTAATCTCACTTGCTTCCACAAGGGACGGAAATTTATGAAGGATGATATCATGAAATTCATGCAAGAGTTTCATGATAATGGTGTATTGGGTAATGGAATTAATTGTTCTTTTGTGACCCTTGTTCCCAAAGTAGATAGTCCTGAATCTATTAAAGACTTTAGACCTATCAGCCTTATTAGTTCAGTCTATAAAGTGGTGGCTAAAGTTCTGGCCAATGGGATGAAACTAGTGTTGTCAAAAGTTATTGATAGAGTCCAATCAACATTCCTAAGTGGAAGGAATATTATGGATGGTGTTCTTATAGCAAATGAGGTTGTGGACTGGTAGAAGAAAACTAAAAGAAAGGGACTAATAATTAAGCTTGATTTTGAAAAAGCTTACGACACTATTAACTGGAATTTCCTCATTCAAATGTTGGAGAATTTTGGTTTTGGTACTACCTAGACCAAATGGATAAAGGCATGCATTTCTTCTGCAAGAGTATCAGTTCTTGTCAATGGGTCACCATCACCAGAGTTTTTCCCTCAAAAGGTTTAAGGCAAGGTGATCCTTTATCCCCTTTCTTGTTTAATGTTGTAGCTGAGGGTCTGAATATACTCATATCAAGTGCTAAAGATATGGGTCTTTTTAGAGGTATATTAGTAGGTGCTAATGGGTTCAATATATCTCACTTACAATTTGCTGATGACATAGTGCTGTTCTATGAGGCTGAAGGGTCGGAAATATTGGCTTTAAAAAGAATCCTTAGATGTTTTGAAGTAGTCTCAGGTCTAAGGATTAATTTTGCCAAAAGTGTTGTGTGTAGGGTGGTTGTGGCAGATGTGTTGGTTGATGAGTTTGCTGCAAAATTGAATTGCTTAAGCAAGAAATTGCCATTAAAGTATCTAGGACTACCATTGGGAGCCAGCCCTAGCAGAAGATTGACTTGGAGGCCAATTATGGAGAATTTCAAGAAAAAGTTATCCGGATGGAAGAGAAGAGTGTTTTTATTTGCTGGTAGAGTCACTCTCATTAAGTCTATGTTGTCTGCTTTACCTGTGTAGGTAAGGATTTTCTTAGAATTATATATATATTTTTGCAAGATCTATATGATTTTCG